CATTTTCTCCATTCATATCAAAGTGTAGGGTTTTCTATGTGATTCCTATTCTCCTACCCAAATAATTGCTGAGGATCTCAAGTAGCAGCAATTTCTCAAGTAGCAGGAATTACTGTGAATTACCAATTCTCAGTAACATTTCTGACATTTTTGGGTCTTTCTGGAGTTTCTGAGCTACGCTTGATTTTATAGAATAGTACTGTTCCATTTTATCAGCAAATTTAATGTGATCAGGAGACTTTTACTGTTCCTTTCTAAAGAATAAGTGAAATGAGGGCAGGCTCTTGGCTTCTTGTGCCCTGTGCATGAAATACCTTTACTGCACTCTGCTGTGTCCTTTGTATTTGTGCTTCTTTATAACTGTTCAGTACTGCAGTTCTCCTAAAGGAATTAATAGCAGTTGGAAACTAGCAAACCTTACAACCCTACAAATGACCACAACATTCTGCCAGCTCCCTCCTCCTGCTCTCTCCGTGTGTGCTGGCTCAGTGGTTACACTGCACAGCACAATTGTCCAACTCCTGGAGAGCTGCTCACGGTGGTAGGAAGCAGGTTACAAGTCAGAATACCGAATGAGTAACTGTGGCCGTGATAATTGTATGCCTTGTGACTCAACAGAACTGCTCTGTTGTATCAGGAGTGCAAAGCTGACTGACTCATTTCTACTTTCACCTAAATAATCAGGCCTGACTTTTTTTTAAAATTCCACGAAGAAGAAATCCTCTTTACAATCCACTGTCCTTCCAGTCTCCTCTGAGAGGAGCCCAGCGGTTTATCCTGGGTTGGGTTTGATACTTCAGGTCTGCTATCATTAAAAACTCAAAATGAAATTCTGAAAAACAAAATCATGGAGACTGGAACTAAAGAAAACTTTTAGGATCCTAAGTGAAATCTTTAAATTTAGCGTAGCTCATATTTTATGTCATGATCACTTATCAGTTACTAACTTCTATCAGGTTTTTATGGTGATGAGAATGTCTTCCATTGAGGAAGATTCCACTTGTGTCTATGAAGAAGTATTCAAATCTTTTCCGATAATTACAAACAAATATTTTGCCTTTGTTTCATCTTGCACTCTACGAACATTAAAGTCCTTACTGACCATACTAAAAACATAGCTCTTCTTCCGACCAGCTTGAAGCTAATGTAGGTGGTACGTTCCTCACAAGTACTTCCTGTAATGGAATGAAGTCTCATCCTAAAATGTAAAATGGCAAATTCTTCTGTTAATTTCATAATTGCACCCTTCGTCTCTGAAAGGAGGAGGTAGATGAAGATCTCAGTAAAAATAAGGAAGCAGGAAGAATGGAGGTTTTCCTGGAAATAAACCAGAGAAAGATAAATAAGGATATTTTCGTTTGATTCTACTTGATTCTCCTTGAATCATTGATCATGATTTCATTAATTAGAAATCTAACTGCTGCAATACTGATGAAAGAGTGTAAACAAATAATTATATCGTGATCTGGCGTGTGGAATCATGTTCAAAACATCAGTGACTAGTCACTAACATTAGTGGTTAGTCACTTACCATGATAAATGGGAAAGGCATTCCAAAATCAAGGAATCCTGTCCAGAAACATCCTTCAGTCCCAGCAGCTGATGATCTAGGTGTCTGATTGAAGATTCCCCCAAAGATGGATTTGGTGGCCCATATGAAAAGGAGACAGTCATGAAGATGGACAGAGCATGCTGGCTGGTTCTATTTTGAACTTCCTAGTTTCTCCTTTATTTCATGGTTTATTATGATTCTATCACATTTGTGGGACATTACTGTGGCACTGAATACTCAATGCTAGTGTTAAATTTCCTGGTTTCTTCATACTTGTGTAAATGAATTGAAGTCCTCAGACTTATTGAATGGAAGTACACTCATTGGTCCCTTCATAATCTATGTAGAGCCCTGTCACTCTCCCTGTGACAGTCAAGTACTGTGTGCTACTACTACTTTTCAGTAAGAGATAGGCAGAGTGAGTAGTTAAAAATAATTTATTTATTGCAGAAGTCTGAGAAAGAGAGAGGCCTTGGCTTGGGTTAAAACAACATGCAAACATTAATATTGGCAAGTTAATCATACACAATCTGGTTTCTCAGTAACTGTGAGACGTACAGCAATAGCAAGCATTTGGGAGAGCAGCTCTTGGATTTAGCATGTTGGTTTTGTAGAACCTGGGAGAATGAATGCTTGGAATTGAAAGATTCCTTCAGGTAAGAAGTAGTGATGGTAGCTAGCAAGACTGCCCCAAAAAGACTGGTTTCTTGCAGGAGGCAGTGGGGCTAAATCAGAGTGAGCCTATCTGGAGCTCATAAGAGAGGGACAGAGGGACTCAAGGCTCCCACCTGAGCATGGAGCTGAGCTGTGCAGCACGGACGAGCAGTCAGTCCTTCTGCAGTGTTCCTGCCGTGCTTCTGCTGACACCTGTTCCTGCAAAAGGACCAGCAAAGTCACAGTGACACTGATTGAGATTCTTTCCTCTCTGTGTGCTGAAGTCACATTTTCTGCATGAGGGTTTGGGAGTCCTGAAAAGAAGATAGGAGAAGGAGGAGAGCAAAATCAGAGAGAAGGAATTGACAAATGTGAGTGAAAGTTTTCATGGCAGAATACACTAATGATCTGGTGCACTGCCAATGGTGAACACTGATCCTAACTTGTATTTTTCCATTTGCCTATCTAGATAGCTACTCTATGGCACGTCTGTGCAGTGCATTTCAGAAGTATTTCCATTTGCAATTGCTTCTCATTGTGAAATCTGTGTAAAATGTGAATAGAACAGCATGGAAGAACATAATATATTTGCATTCACCTTTGGTCTCAAGCTGTGCTTATTTTCAAACATACAACGTAGGCATTTGAAATTCCCCTTTACAACATCATTAGGAAAGCTGCAAGTTGTATAGAAGCACTGCCACAGAGGGACGAAAAGGTCATCATGACACGAAGATAAAAGAAATACTTCATCCTGGAAAGCAGCACTTTGTGTTTTGGAGGCATGGAGGCATAGGGGCAGTGTAATCAGCACTATTTATTTACTTCTTTATATTGCACTTGCAAATAGAGTTCCTGAAACTCTTTACTCCAAATAAAATTAAAACTTCACACATTATTGTGGCATCCAGTCCGGCAGTCTTTAGCAACTTCTTCTGTATGGAAGCATGTTTGAAATGGATGCCAACCAGAAGGTAATGTTCTATTCAAGTATACAGAAGGCTTAGCTGTAGGAAACAGGTCAGTTACACGTGGACCAGAGACCAGAAGCTGTGATATTAAGAGAACTGCAGTGGTATATTAATTAAAAACATGAGGCATCTAATTTTACATTTTATTCCCTTAACATCATCTGGGGCTCCATGCAGGGGAAAGTTGACTGTGGTGGAGTAGCAGCAGTTTGGGGGATGTAAATACTGTGATATGGGAAGATCATATCAAGGAAAAGCAAAACTACTGCTGAAAAGATGCAACCCAGGTACAGAAAAGACGTGAGAAGTGTGATGATGCAAAAATATCTGAAACAGGTATGAATTCATTGAATGAATGCAAAAGGGACAATAAAGGCCAGATAAGAGTGAGGAGAGATGTCTGTGTAAGAGGGAAAGTAGGCACAACAGCATCTCCTAAAAGAAGTGATTGCCACCACGAGCTATGTGTGAAACAGCAAAGTACTCCTGTATGCCAGGGCACCTCTGAAAGCTGACAGGACCTGTGGGTTCTCCAAAGGTAAGCATGCTAGCACCAAGGTTTTGAGAGGAGTCAGCTGAGTGAGCTAATGCATGGAGTGTTAACAAAGCCCCAGGCTGCAATTACAGTCAGGAAGACCATGGAGTCTAACCCCGAGTGAACAACAGCTTTTCTGGGGCTTTGGGAAGGTTATTTGGTTTCTTTAAGAATGGGAACTGCAACTTCTCAATTCCTTTCCTGGGGAGCTTCTGGCAGCTTGATATTGACAGCCAATTCTGCCAGCTGTTGTACTCAGCACTTCTGAGAGGAGCTTTTCCATCCTCTGGAAAGGGGAAGCAGAGGAATGAGAATTCCTCAGACTGAGGAATTTTTCTGTCATTTCTTTCCTGCACCTTCTGCTTAAGCAATCACCTGCCTGAGGCTGAGATTCATGTTAACTTCATATTATTTCTTATTTCATATGACTGATTTTTTTACAGCAATTACACAGGACTTAAAACAGAGAGATCAAATATTTTGATGTACTGACAGGAGAGGTCCCTCTAAATAAGAGATTTTGTAGCATGAATACTCCCTATTTTGATACAGGGAGTGAAAACACGTGGAATATGAAATCTAAATTAGGTTTCAGTTGCTGGAACATGCTTTATTATCAGAGTTTCTTCTCTGGCTATTCCTTCAGAAGTAGGAAGTAGATTATTTGAAATTTTTAAGTAGAAAACACGCTAAGCTCAACACTGATTCAGAGTTCCAGCACAATGTGAATGGTAAAGCTGCAGAGAGGCAGGGCTTACGGTCCTCCAAAGCAGGAGGCATGGTGTACCATTTGTACCAGTGATAGAAAATGGAAAAATAATTTGTAGTTTTGTATAAAGGTGGAAGAGTTTGGGGACAGAAGTGGTTAAATGCAGCAGCAGTCAGCAGGATTAACAGCTCCTGGAGAGCAGCAGTGGCAAAGTGCAGAACTGCACGCAGATGTGCTGATGTGATGTTGAGTGTAATGTGTCCTAATCCAGTACAGATCAAGCAGATATTTACTATCACAGCTTCTGCTTCTTGTCTTGAGCAGTTACTTATTTATGAAGTGGGCTGAATTTTCCAAGTGCCTGCTCTCTCACTACTCTTCCAAGTGCCTCACTCCCCGCCTTGCTCCCAGTCCCTCATCTCCCAGCTCTCAGCACTGCTCGCATCCTTCTGACTGCATACTGCTGTCCACATGTCAGCCCTGGGAAGCATCTGTGGCTATGAATGTCTTCCTGCCACAGAACTGTTAGAGGAGGGAGGCACCGAGAAGCAAAGATAAATAAAAATAGGACTACTTGGATTAATGACAAGCTATCTGTGGGTTGCTTTTTTTATTATGGTTTATTGAGATAAGTCCATGATAAGGTTTAACTCTCAGTTTGATTTTGAGACGGAGCTTTTTGTTAGTGGAAGTTGCTTATTGTGGCTGGTCAGAGCTTGGTGCAGTGTATCTTTTCTTCAGTCACGTTATTCTCCACAGTCTGATGCCTTTTCTTCTTATATCTGAGTGTTTTGAATTCTTCTGTAATTTCAAAGGTTGATTTCCCTTTTGTTTCTGGGACAAACAGGTAGATGAGAACTGACGAAACTACCAGGACAGCAATAAAGATGAGGAAGCAGAAGGGTCCAAGAGCCATCTGGAGATAAAAATAGAGTAAGATGAGCGACTTCCCTGGCAACACTTGCTCCTATGGATTCTTGCAAATTGTTGGCTTGTCCCTAAGAAATGAGGAATACATTTATTATATCTTTTCAGTCTATTCTGAAGGCAGCAGAGGCTATCAGAACTCCAGATAAGTTTTCTGTATGAATGGTCTCCACATGCCAGTGGTAATTAAAATTCACAGCTTTGGTCATCTACAAGAATTTAATCTTACTCCCTCTCCAGACCTGCTTAGAAAAACAGTTGAAATTGAAAGAGTCAAAGAGAAAATTGGAATCCCATTACATACAACAGCAAAGGGGAAAAGCATCCCAGTGAAAGCGAGGCCTAGCCAAATGATGATTCCAGCGATTACAAATGCGGAGGGCCGTGCTGAGAGAGTGAAGATTTCATTCATGACAGATGAAACAGCTCCACCTGGGGAAAAAAACAACAACGTAAAAAGCAATAAGAAACACTGCTGTGTGTTTTGTGGAGAATGGGTTAACTACTCTCCTCAAAGTGAATAAATTGTTGTCACTCATCAAACACTGCCCCAGTAAAGTCAGACTACTGTGAGATCACATAAATCTAGGCAGCACAACCACCTCTATCAGAATTCACCTACCAACTTCTCTTACAGTCCATGGAGAGAGATGGACACCCCTGAAATGCAATTTCTCTCCGCCTAGGATGTCTGAAACATGGAGGTGAATGACTCTAATGGCCTATTTCTCTCCACTGTCTGTAGGTGCTAACTGGGTTCTGATACCATGGCAATTTGTTAGGTTTTAAAGACATTTGTAATCCTCATATATTGCTCTTACAATGATAAAGACTGGCACTTGATTTTGAAGATTGCATAACTAAAAGTTGTCATTAGTCATGTCAACCACAGAGTAAAGTTTACTTTCAAGTGAGTGTAATCACAGTAGAGAGCTTGTAAATTTGGTTCTGCTATTATTGATGTCAGTGACTCAGAAAAAAAACAAAGAGAGAATGAGAAAGGACAGAGTAATGCTAAGAGACACTGCATGCTACCATATATCATTCTTTAATGGAGTTGAATTTTACAGGTGAATTGAGAAAACTGATATTTTGGAAGAGGCTACCTCTGCTTTAGGGCAAAATGGACTGCTGCTGATTTGCTATATCCCATGGCCTGTGTGTACCCTGTGGTCTAAGTTTTGCTGTTGCTGCTCATACTGTTATACTCACTTGGTCCTATTCCATAGGCAATGATGAATAAAAAGATCAGAGTAACATTGCAGTAACGCATCCAGAGGAATCGATCCTAAACAAAGGCAGAAGGAGGGATGACAATGACGATTTCAGATCACAGCTGATCCAAACACACTGGAGAAGAGATGTTGATGAAAAAGCCCACAATGCTGAGGAACAGATTCTCACTAGAACTACTGATATTTGTGTACTGAATGCAGCAGACAGTCAAAAGTATCCTGCAGTGTCATACCTAAAGAAGTGGGTTAGACTGTGCACCCTGCTCGGAACAAATAAGGAATGGATTCCAAGCAAGTTACAGCATAGGGAAAACTGATTCAATCTAATTGTCAAGAAGTTAGACAATTTCAGAGAAATGTTTAAAACTTGCGAATCAGAAGATATGTGTGAAAAAGAGAGGAGTGAATAGTTTGTGGACTGAGACAAAGATTGAAATGCAGTGCTAAACCCTGGCAATATCAAAACTGTGCCACTGGGCTGTAAGTTTGTGTTCAGAAGATATTCTGACCTGCTCTTTTGGATGTCAGAACTAAGGCTGACTATGTGCCGTCCTGCACAAAGATTTCTGATGCAGGTCCACCCCTAGTGAGACATTTGCTTACACTCAGTAGAAGGCTTGTTTCAAGCAGCGCCAGTACCAGTGCCATCAACAAATAACCACCCCACAGGAGTATCCGGCGTCCAAAACGATCGATTATGGAGCTCTGAGAAGCAAAAAAAACCCCATATATCACTGGGGGCATGGGCAAGTGAAGTGGCTGTGAGCCTTCTAATAGCTTAGACATTCCTTTTCAGTTCTCTTTACTCAAGAAAACACAAATCATGTTAGTAGCAAGTTAGTTATTTTATGGAGTTCCTTCTGGTCTCTCTAATGCCATGAATTACTCTTGCTGCCCAAACATTGCAGCAATTTTTTCATAAACACTGTAATCAGTGGATGCATGTTATGATTCCATTCAAATAAATAATTAGATATGTCAGTGAAAGGAAGTAGGCATGCATATTTGTCTTTGAATGACATTTTATTTATATTTGTATAGATAAGAGAAGGATTTTGTAAGAAGTTATGAAGACTGAAGATAGGCAGGAATACGTAAAAGATGGGAAGAAATTTAGCAGGGACAGTAAGAACCACTTTACAGATTTATGTGCTGCCACGGGAAAAATCTTAAACTCACTTAGTGAAGATAAGGAAGTAAGGAAGTACAGACTTAAATCACATGAGGAAGAATAGACCCAAATCAGTCTTAAAGTCCCAGCATGATCTGACTTACACAAAAGATGACGGAGATGAGCTCACAGGCTGCAACTCCTAGAGCTACGTATGGGATTATGCTTTCATGGAGGTTGGCTGTCTGAAAAATTTCCGATGTGTAGAAAGTGATCTGGGAAATAAGAACCGTTTTAAAAATGAAGCAACATCAATGGATGTGGTACGTTCTCATCCTGCATCACTTACACCTAGATTTGTCATCACTGCAATAGCAATAGTATAATATTGGGGCTCATTGGAGGTGATGTAATAGTTTATTCTGTGGCCTTTTTGCAGTTATTCAGAAGGTGCTCAGCTGCAAAGCTCCTGCTGGTCTGAGCACCTTTGCCCTACTGACAGTGGACAGAAATAACTTCTCTGCCTGCATTGCCAGGCAATGCAATGAACAGAGTCCAGAATGCAGGTGGTGATCAACAGAGCTTCACAGACAGAGGCAGGCTCTGCGTGTTACACAGATCCAGAGGAAAGTGACAAGTTGGAATCACAGTGATTTGGTTGGATATAGGCTATACTCAACTGCACTCAGGCCACAGAGCTGTAGACTCAGTAGAAGCAGGAGCATGGTATACAGCTGTGGATGCACAGATGGTTCTTTCAGCATCTCTAGGACATTCATTATTTTGGTGCCTTTTGTTACAGCCTTTTCCTTCATCATGTCATCAAGTTCTGTGTGATAATTGTCTTCTCCCCAGAGCTGCTTCATGGCTACAGAAGGGACAGAATGAAGCATATTCTCCCATTATCTGATGTACTGATCACTTACAGTTGAGTCCGTGCCTTGATTCATCAGTCACTGAGAAAAGAACTAGAACGTCACTTACTGGAACCTGCTGAGACTCTAAAATGTTACCTTACCTTTCAAGCAACCATCCTTGTCTCCTTTTTGCAGAAAGAGATATGGAGGAGACTCGGGAAAGAAGGGCAAAAAGAGCAGTTGGATCAATGCCACAAGCCCAGAAAAGGACAGCAGCACATTCCACGTGTCTTCAGTTCCTAAAAGATCTCTGCGAAGGCATACAAGAGTGGATTTATAGTCCAGTAGAATTACTTTTTATAACTAGTTTGTTATTTTCTGGATCCTAGACTAGCAAACTATATATACATATAACTGTAAAGAATAAATTGAAATAAAATATACCTAGACTAGGGAAAGAAAAAAAGCCTGATATCTCAGTTCTACTGTAAGGCTGAGATTTTTCTTGTAATTTGAGGTTTTTTTCCTAAACATCAGTGGAGTTTGAATATTCTCACAACAGATCTCTGAACAAATACAGTAATTCTGCTTGAGGATATCATGAAATCAGCAGAGAAAATCTCAGGTCTCAGGGGCCTATTAAGCTTGAATGTGTATATATATATATATATATATTCAATATATATAAATTGTTCTTAACACTGCACCTTCAAAGATGGATTTAATCTTTCCTCAAGAGAAGTGTCTTCCTCTCCTCAGTGACTGACAAGGGAACCTCAGTGACTGGCATGGGGCAGCTGTTTCCTTTTTGGCAGCAATAGTTAAGCAAAGTACAACCCCCCCTTCTGTGTGTGTCTGTTTCTAGGACTGGACTTTCCTGACACACAGAAGACAAATAGAAAATAGGACCAGAAGGAGCAGCACAAGTACCGTAATCCAAGAACTCTTGCTACAGCTTTTCCTAGTGCAAGAAACACCGAGGAGGTCACATTTACAAAGCCACGCATCTTCTTAGGTGAGATCTCTCCTGCATACTGAACATGGGCATTCAGATATATTCCTAAAAAGAAGACAAAGGAGAACTGAAGTTACAGAAAACGAGAGAGTCCCTTTTCATTTCACCTGCTCCACAGTAAGTACTGGGAAAATGTACATCCTACTTAGCTAGCCCATCTGATATCTTCCTCAGTAAGAGCTCTTGAAGGCAAAGGAGAGCTCATCATCATAATGTCCCTGCCCTCTGAACACACTGCACTTTGCAATAGGCTTGAGCAGTCTGCTGCCTCAACATGAGATGTGATCTTCTTACCTTTTCCCAATCTGTTCCTTGTTCCACTGGGGTTGCTGTGCATGCCTGGGTACTCCTAGCAGGAAGATTTCTGTATCCACCCCTAAGAATTCACATTAACATGGAATAGTGGGGAGTCCTACCAGAACAGATGCCCTCGAGGAAGCGCCCAATCAGGATCATCTCAAAGGATTTGGCTCTCCTACTGAAGCCTGTGTTCAATGTGGCTATTATTAGGACCACATCATTGATTAGCAGACATTTCTTCCTACAACAGCAAAAACATGTTAGTATGATCCACATTTTCTTCTTCATCATTAACTAATTTCTGCCTGTTCTTGTCTTGATTTATAGACTAAGCCATGATCATTTTAAACTCCATTGCTTACTGGGCAACGATCTCTGATTATGAAAAGGCATGATGTTCTCCCACAAGGGTGGAAAGGGAGAAGTTAGGCTACTCTTTTCTATGCTAGTATCATGTGAACACACTATAAGACTGAAAGAAATTCCTGCAAGGCAGAGACTGATAAGGAATGGTCTTCCTCACTTCTTTCCTTCCGGTCTGACTCCCATCCTGAACACTGCAGTTGTCACCTGAACTAGGCACATCCAGCCTTATGGAGACCTTAATTCATTGTCCACCTTCACCTAGAGAGTTTTGGCTTTGTCCTTTATGGTCACATTCGAAAAGATGGTTCTGAATGTGGTTTGACAGACTTCTACTTGCCTTTGATGAAACTGTGACTGTTCTTACAGATGAATGAACCTGCATGTTTTGTAAGAGCTGCAATCAAAGTATTGTCAGGCTCCCTAGGCATTATTGCTCAGTAAAGTCATTGCAGAGAATGATTCCTCACTAACATTTCAGCAAAAATATAGGAATTATATGGCACAAAACCCAGTGAGAATGGGATCAGAAACAGTCACATGTTCTCATCTCTATTGTGGACCCAGGTCTAGATACACATGCTGAGCAGAGCTAATGCTGCACCGAGAGGAGGCAGTGAAAATTCTGACAATCACTGTGCTAGGTGAGTGAGGTTTAATTGCCTCCCTTGTGGCAGCATTAGTGAAATGCTGGGAGATATACTTACTTTCCATATTTTGCAGCCAGGTACCCACTACACAGAGACCCTATCATTCCCCCTACGCAGTATGTAGACACAATGAAGGACCAAAATAATGTGAGAGTCTCTTGATGCAGCGGTGAGCCATATCGCTCCAGCCAGGTTTCATTGATAAACTTCTGAATGTACTGGGACAGAAAAAAAAAGTTTATTCCTCTGAGACACTGATCACAGTGATTCCTCTTTATGCTTACAACTTAAAAAAAAAATAAAATAAAATAAAAAAAGATTAATAGTTATTATAAAAATCAAGGATATAGGGCTTTTGTTTGCAAATTAGTATCTATATGAGCCACAAATCCACTAAAATACAGTTTATTGCCTGTTCATATGTTGGCTGTAAGCAGCTGCTTGGTCATTAGCACTGTGAGCAATGGAGTCTGCTAAGGAAGGAAAGGTGTTACTATCCTGATACTGAAAATACCTGCTACTTTATTTTCTATGTTCTGTCCATTCAACTATAGATCACAGCAGGTACACTGCATGTTTTCCAGTTTTCTCAGCTTTTCTAGCACTCAGTGGGAAGCTGTCTTTGCAGTACAGCTCCTAACACTTATACACTACTTTGTGCTTTGATACTGGACAATAAGGGTTGGGAAGGGGCTGGGAATAAACTCATGTAGTAACGTGTAAGAGGAAATGTAGAGCATCTTCAAAATATAAACATAAAACAAACAAGCAAACAGTTACAGAAACCAAAACCAAGCCAAAACAAACCAAAACAGACAAACAAAGAGAAAAAAAAAACAGTTACAAATATGATTTTATGAAAGGTTTTCTTACCGGAGAAGCATAATTGATCACAGTCATCTGAAAGCCACCTAAGTGGGTTCCACCAATTCCTAGCACCAAAATCATCAGCAAGAGCTTGCGGTATTGAACCTGCCAAAGATGATAAAACACATCCAAAGTTCCTGAGCCCAGCAAGGCCTACAGAACCACGAGTTAATTCATGAGATCTTACATCTTTCCATTTCCATGATTAAAAAGCCTTAATCATCGTCATCACAAAACAAAATCAAAACCAACCAAAGGAAAACAAAAGCAGAAAAAAATCATTTCCTGAACATTAACAGCCTGGAATATTAACAGCCTAGAAAGCAGTCTATAATTCCTTTAGTTTTGCCAGCCACAGAATTTTAATCATAAATAGAAGTGATAAATCATAAAAATCCATGACAGCCTTTATCAGCAGCTTGTGTTTGCTTTTGGATTGGTACGACTACAGCTTTCATGATTCCCTTTTTTCCTTTGATTCTCAGACACTTTGTTCACCTGTTTCCTGGGATTGATCAAGTTCACTCTCTTAAAACTCTTACTTAAAAAAAAAAGTATTTATTATCCCCATAGGAATCTGCATTTTCAGAGCTCCTACTTGAATGACTCCTATGTTGTCTATGATGTACACTGAATTTTAGAGCACTCTTCACAAGCACATATGTTTTCAGACATTTAATCAGGTCATACTCTAAGCAGGTGAATATCTGCAAATGTCTTGGAGAGTGCATGGCAGTAGAGTAGAATGCTTTTTTCTTTTTCTTCTTTTCTATAATACCGTTTTCCCTGTTTTCCTCTTTCCTGGTTTCCCACATCCTCTCTTAAACCTCACTTTTGCACTTGCAGTACATTTTCTGCACGTGCTGTGGGTCAGTATTATTGCTGAGTCAGTGTTGTCCCCAGCATGTACTCCGTTCTTTTCTGTTACAGTAAAGACTGCTTGATTCCCTATGCTGCAATCTTCAAAGATTCTGCTGCTGTCAGTGGCTGGGCTAGAAGACAAGATGTTGGATACTCACCAGCTCTGAGAGGAAACCAGCCATCTCCTCTTGAATACCTGCCTGCTCTGGGAGCCCTTGTCAAGTCAGTCGGATGAGTGATGTTTCCTATGCTTAGATTATAACAAGTTGGGATCATAGCACCGAAGTTAAATTCTAACTACGTGGCTTCTAGTGAATTATGTCCTCCTCCATCACTGGCCAGGATCTCTTCTTGCTGGTTTAATAATTCCAAGACTCAGATATGCCACGTTGATTACAACATCAGTAAATGTTTATCTTTGTATTGGGAGTGCTCCCCTTTACTTGCATTGCTAAAACGAATGTGGGTTTCTGCTTGGTGGGGATCAGGTGTTGGCGTCTTTCCTTCAGGACAGCAGGTTCTCTAGGCAGGGATTTCCTCCTCTCCACTCTACTACAAAGTTAACCCACTTAGTACGGCAGCTGGGCCGTGCTGCCTGATTTCCTGCGTGCTGTAAGATTTTCAGTCAGTGAAAGTGATTTGAGCAGCTTCCCAGTGCAGGACATAAAGTATTTGAATATTGGCATGGAGGAGGAGCCTTGGTCCTTGCTAACACCCAGATGGCCTTGCTTTTTCCAGAGCTACACAGAAACCTCTCTATTCCCACTTTGTAACAGTGGACGTGGCCTGGTGTGTGCCTGTTCTGGTTTGGGAGTTGATTTTAAGAAAATTTTTCACTTTGAAAAGATTGTTTTGAACAAAAGGCTTTCTCCTTCAGGCTTCTACTCATATTCTACACTAAATACAGCTCCACATTTAGCAATGCATTGGTAGTGCCTTGAGGGGAGGTGGGAAGGGGAGGCTGTGGCTTTAAAGGAGACAGGAGCTTTGCTCAGGAGCACGGTGGAAGGGTTGCATCCATCCCAAAGTTTGCCTTTTCCCTGACAGTGTCTGGTAGCTCGGCAGCACTGAGCCTGCTGTGTTATGCTGACATCCCAATCACTCCGTCTCCACACCTTCTTGCCTGGGAGTCTTGTAGCACATCAGTGCACTGGAAGAATTTAAGCTGACTTCTTCTTTCCACATCATGAGATCTTCATTACTTTCACATCAGCTGTAGTTATGCATTTTCCTTCACCTTCTCCTCTTAGCATGGGCTCCTCAAATGTTCTTGGTTGTAAAACCCCAGAATCCACCCTTCTCTTCCATTATTATTGCCGGGCTCTCTGTCTTTATTTAGATTTTCTTGTGCTTCTTACAAATTCTTATTCTCAAACTCCAGTCACATTCACACGGCCCTCCTTCAGCTGATGATTTTTGCTGCCACAGAGAAGTGCAGTCAGATGGCACAGCTGCCCACTGGCCTCTCCGATCCCCTTCTGGAAGGGATGCAGATCCACCTCCTAGCATCACACCAGGACTGTACCCAGCAGAGTATCCCAGGTCTGGCAGGCACAGATTACAGCATCTGGTTGAGCTAACTGTCCCCAGCAGAGCCTTGTCCTTCTTCCTCTCACTGTCTGTATTTCTTTCAGAATACTCATGCAATTGTCATTTCCATCTGTCCCCTCACATTTGTGCAGTGCTTTAATATGGAAAAAGCAAGACTTCAATGTCTAGTATAGCTCCTACTCATTTTCCTATGGAAGAAGGAATGAGCCTTTTCACCTAAGATTAGTTCTTGTTCCAGACTTGATATACTTCTGTGATCCTAGAAATCAAATAGATACAGTGCTGATTCACAAGCACTCATTTAACCTTTATTCACCATACAAGCTAGTTCAAGGCATCATTAATAATTAACCATGCTTCCCCTTGTACCGACAGTACTTAATAGTAGGGGGGAAGAAGGGGAAAAGTCAGGCATGGTGAGCAAGATCGCACTGTAGAAAGATGCATGTGAGAAATGAGTTTTCAGTCTCTTTTAGAACACAAAAACACTCCTTGTCGCAAACCAGTAAGGCTGAGAAATACCAGACCAAGTTAAGACATTACCTAATAGTTTCTCTTCAAAGATACAGACAGCAGCTCCCCCAGACCTCCTGCTCCACTATGGGCATCTCCTGGGCTGTAGGGAACTTCTGCTCAGCATCTGGAGCACCTCCTGCCTTCCTTCTGCACTGACCTTGATAGCTGCAGGTCTGTTTCTGTCATATTTTCTCACTCCTCTCTCCAAGCTGCTGTTGTGCAGCATTTTTACCCTTCTTAAATCTACTGTCACTAAGGCATCATCTGCATTGCTCAGTGTCACTGTTCTGGCCAGCAGCAGGTCTCTTTTCTAACTTGGGGCAGCTTTTGGGCTCACAGAGGCTACTCCTGCAGCCCCCCTGCTATCAAAAGCTTGTCATGTAAACCTAATACAGCTGTGAAGGCCACTGCTTTTGGTATTAGCTCCTCGCACTGCTACAGATATTGCTAGAGGGTGGTGTGATGATCAAACAGCAGATTAGGCCTGCAAAAGAAACTACTTCTCAGCATTTAGATCCTTTTGCAAATTTTATTGCATTGTACAGCATCTGCAACAGCCAGTGGTGGAGGTTTCATTTCCAGATTAAAAGCTCCCCCTGATAAAACAATCCCAGAGACTGGCATTCCTCTGGCCCTGACTCTTTAATCAGTGAATGCCAAACACCAGCGTGGTCATTGGGATGTGTTTGCCAAGTTGCTGCATTTTTATTTTCTTGTCAGCAAACTGCAAAGCACAACGAGCAAAAGTGTTTCACGTTGTAAAGCAATGAATAGAAAAAGCGAGGTCCTTTTCCCATACTTTGTAATGAGAATTGGAGTATTTAGAGACCTAGAGAGATGAGCAGATGCTCAGACACAGGTTGGGCTCTCTAGCAGAGGCACCACTCTTGTTTCATCAATACCAGAGACGTGGGGACTGAATCCCATTGAAACTCAGTATTCCTTCTCTCTGACATGAAACAACTCCAGGCTGAAGGCATGCTCCAATGTCATTGCTAATGGTGTAGGAGAACCCAGCCCACAGTGGATTAGCCTACTAAGGGTTTCCTGCATGTCTGCTTTCTTTGCTCATGCTTTCTTTCAGTGGTGGTCTATCCTTCTAAGTCCAAGTGGAAGAATCTCAGAAATCTAAATAATGTACCGATTTGGGTAGAGATGGCAGGTTATATTGGATGCTTCTCTAACATAGTGTTTCCTTTACTTCTTTACACTTTTCTCATTCAGATGCAGCAATGATTTCCCTCCAAAAAGCTAAAAAAAAAAAAAAAAAAAAAAAAAAAAGATTAAAAGAAACCTGCAGCTCACAGAAACCTGGTCACAAGCAGCTCAAGAAAGTCCTAGTTGACCCAGAACTGCATGCTTGCTCTCAAGTCTAATTGCAAGAGGGGAAACCAATGTAGCAATGATGTCCTCTGAAAGGAATGGTGCTCTTCTTTCACTGGTTCAAAGAGCAAAACACTTTGTCTGGATTGAGTCTCTTCTCTTGAAAGCTCAGCAGCACCATCTTGTAAATAGTAGCAAGTAATTTTGATGTGAAAGCCTCTGTCCAGCAATATGGGAGTCCTGGTTTTGATAGAAAAAGTAGCTGATCCTGTGTTTTCAGTTTATACAGATGCTAACTTGCAGAGAGTGAAGATATTCTTTCTTTATCCCCTGTCTTCCTTCCTTCCTTCCTTCCTTC